AGCGGGAGCTCGAGGCTGAGGAGGAACCGGGGATACCTGGGCACAATAACGAGGAGGTCGAGACCGAGGGGGGCTCCCAGCTGGAAGGGACCTCGCAGCCGCAGCCACCGCCGCCAGGGCTGCAGCCGCATCCGGAACCTGGCGGCTACTCGGGGCCGGACGGACATTGTGAGAGTGCGCGAGGCGGGGGGCCGGGGAGTCTAGAGTCCAGGCCGAGGAAGGGCTGTGGGATGCGGGAGTCTGGCGCCTGTGGGGCCCCGCTGCCCGCCGCTGGAAAGGACCCGGGGACCAGGGTCTCAGGACAGCCGACGGGTGGGTCCTGGCGTTCGGTGCAGGAGAGAGGCAGGGAGTCGGGGCTCCGTATCGGAGGAGGAAAGTCCGGGGGTGGGGGCGGTTGTGGAGGACTCTGGAGCCTAGGGCTCGGAGACCCGAAGCCGTGGTTTCTGGAAAGGGAGTCGGAAGGACAAGAGGTTGTCTCCTGGGGACCAGGGCGGTCTTGGAAATGGTGATCCCAGGGTTTGGAGCGAGGTGGGCTTGGGGGCTGTGCTGGCCCGGCTTGGGGGTTGGCCCTGGGAGCCGTGTTCTCCGGGCTGGGGGAGGCATGACCGGGTGTCCGGCGCTGGGAGTGCCGTGAGGGTGGAGGATCCTGGAGTTTGCTGCTGGATGGGATATCGGGAAGTCCCCTTTCCTACTTGGAGGGGTTGGTGCGATGGGGAGAACCTGAAGGACTGGGTGCTCTGGCGTTTAGCTGGTGAGCATTTGGGGATGTGGGGGACCCACATCTGCCTGAGGGTGGCCTGGGGACTCGGATCCAGAGCCGAAGGCTAACCCTGAGGCAGGGCATTTGGTGTTGGGGAATCTGGAGACCCGGTTGGCTTGTAAGGAGGCACAGGGAGTCCCAGTGTCCAGAAGCTGCCAAGGGAGGAGAGGATGCTTCACTGGACCCGGGACCTAAAGGTCTAGAGCTGGCAAGGCTCTGAGGACAGACAACTCGGTGGCCGGTGCTGAATGGTCTTGGATTAACTGTATGGAAAACAAGGGTGGCTGGGGTGGGGCAGATACCGAGTTGGAGTTTGAAGTGGTAGGAGTATCTGGGGGGAC